TAAACTAAATATTTTCAATTTGTGTTAATTTTTAAGCGACAGCTACAAATTATGCACTATGCATGCACTTTAAATGTAAATGGTTGCAACAGAATCTTGGAAAACAAGGTGAAAATCAGCAGACGTGACCTTTGAAATGAGTTCCATGCATGGACGAATCAATTCAGCCAAAGACGCAAGAATATTCCCATTGTTCCACAATGCCAAGTGGAATTATTCTTAAGTGGTACAAATATGCTTAAAAAATGAAAACTGAATTGCACATCCAAATTAATAGATTTAAATAAATCCAAGAAAAGGAAGAATAAAAATGGCTGCGTAAACGGATGAAGTAGGGTGTACTAGACTAAAATTAATTGCACAATAGTCAAGTACCATAGAGACATCAATAATTGAGTAGCTACAAATCTAGAAAGTGAGAGTGTAATTTGCAGTTAAAACAGTGGAATGATTCAAGTAGCGTGGGAAAACATGAACAAGCGAGTTTTTGAGACTTTGGGTTCTAGCATAATGATGATGAAAAGAGACAGTATCAAGGTGGCGAATGTTGACTTCTGTATTGGATTTACAACTCTGACATTCAGTAAGGCCAAACAAGCGCTTAATTATTTCAAGGATGGATTTGCGGGGGGGATGTAAATTGATTTTGGTTTTCGCCCTGCCCCACGTGTATTTTAACACTGTATACTCAGTGTATGCCCCCGAAAGCTTGTGAAAAAACACAAGCGTACTCGGGTGGGGACTCGAACCCACGACCTCCTGCTGACTAGACTAAGTGCGGACGTCTTAACCATGTACCACTCGACAGATTTCGCGCGTTATGATTGGCCAACGCGTTGCAAACTCTTGGAGGCGCACTATTGCAGCTTCCTATTTGGATTTGCTGTACCTAACTCCATAGTTACTGACACCATCCAGGAATCCGAAGTGCTCATGTCCCAGGAGATCTTCAAGCTGTTTGCCGAACTCTTGGTATATGTAATCTTGAGAGGATTGCCTAGAGATTTCAGCCCGTCTAGTAAGGAGTCAATCTCCTCCTGGATGAGTGCTTTGCGGTCAGAGCCAACCTGGAAAACAAAAAGCAAGTGTCTGAGGTCAGCGTTTGTTAAGAGACATTCTTTGTTAAGAGACATTGAAAAAAGGCCTACTCCTAAAATCCACCTTTTCTCTGTATTTCACAGAACTGAAAGCACTGTTGATATCCATTGTTTAAATCCAGGGGATGGGGTGGCTCATCCCCTCCCCGCTATTTAGAAGAAAGAAACAATAGGTATATGGGGTCAATTCGAACTTTTCAGAAGTCAGTAGAAAAAAATGGATAAAGGTAAATGCACCATTCTTGAAGTGTGGACGTTCACTCTACCCGAGTGAAAAAATCAATCTGTCCAATTTAAAGTAGGGAAAGTACAAATTTGAGTGAACCTCGCTCCGAGCAGGTTGAGATTCACTCGAGGTTCACTGGAAAAGGTTTTTTTTTCAAACTATATCAGTCTAAATTCAGAGAGATTCTCACCATAAAACGTCTAGTGCGTGGTGCATAGTTACGCTCTTCCGGAGTTAGTTATAACTTAAGCCTCGACATTTTGTGGCCGCACAACAGATGCCTATCGATAAAGTATTTAGCATGACACAGGGGAAGTTTTCCTCTGACCAGGTTCACTTGTGGCACAGTTTTAACATAAAAATGACGTTCGCTGAAATAAACTATCTTGTGTTATTAACTGAGTAGAGCTTGGTATTCAGATCAGACTTTCTACATTCCATTTATGTACGCTTACCTGCAGTAATGTGAGGTCATGGTAAAGGCTGGTTCATATACTTCACGCGACAAACGCCACTTTGCCAAGCAAGATCAATATTCGCGCTGCGAATTCGCCAAAGTTGAACACCTCACCGAGCGAAATTTCGCTGCGAATCTTTCGTGACGTCGGATTCGCTTCGCTTTTGCATTGGCCGGTAGTATGACCTGGCCATAATTTCCCCAACGGGAAACTTCTGGGATTTTGGCCGTCCTTCCGTACCCCCTACCCACGTAAAGGCCGGTTAACACTAGAGCACACTAGAGCCGATTGTGAAAGCAAAGTCGAGCCAATTAAGTCAAAAAGATTTGAAGTGAAACTTCGCCCCAGTTGAAATGTTTTCAATTTTTGCGAACTTGCAGCATGAATAATTTGATCTGATCCAACAAATTCGCATTTGTGTTTGCGTTTGTGTAAGCCGATAAACCAGCCCTTAGGGTGGGGACTGGTGCACACTACCATCAGAAAAAAAAATGATGACGTACCTGGATAAGAATCGGTGGACTTTTCTTGGCGCCAACTATCCAATTTTACTGGGCCCATCACCTAATAAAAATACAGAAACGAACAGAGTAATTTGCTAATTCTCCCTGTTCAATCGTCCATCATCCCAGCTACCAGTAGGCATGTACATGTACCTATTATCGAATGACAATGCATTCAACGAGTTTATTCCTGAATGCCTGGATCTTGACCTAAAACATAATGAGGTCACTTTTGCTTACACATGCACTATCCTACCCAGTTCGTAAGTGTAACATCACCTCAGTTTAAACCACGCCCACTTCACATAGAGCAACATGGAACCGCAAGGAGCTGAAGATAACGCGCAAGTTGAGTGCTCATCCAATGGAGGCTTGCAATCAGTAGGGCGTGTCGTGTATGACAAAGTCACTTACGAAGTGCACTGCATCGCAAAATCGACCCAACGACACAAACAAATCATAAACCTAAGCAGGAGTTCTTCGTTTGAAAGGTTCTGATCTAAACACAAGGGCGTACAGGAGAGCCATGCCCCCCCCCAAGAAGAGCAAAACACTGTTAAAAAAACGCAAAGAGAACGCGTTTTTCGGTCTGTGTAATTTCCCTTGATTCCTTCCTATAGCCAGCATCAATACCAACAGCAAAAGTGAGACCATAATGTGAAGAGCAACTGATGCACCATTTGTGTTTTCGATCCAAGGAAGCGAGAATCGATACTGATCGGTTGAATAACGACACTCGGCCCTTTTTAAGAATAGCGTGGTGGACGATACATTAAACCTTGAATTTCCAGGGAAAAAAATTGAAGTCAGCGTGATGGAATGACAGGGAAACTGTTTCACAATCTTCGTTGTGCTTGATATATCGCAATAGGAATATGGAGAGAAAAAATGCAGTGTTACAATCATGCGCGTATGATCCTTGGGGAGGGGTATATATACCCCGCTTTTTGAGATGGGGGATGGGCTATTGAATCACCCCCCCCACACACACACACACACCTATACACCCACAATCACACACTGTAATATGGTGAGGAAAACCATTAAAGCAGATTGTGAAGAATTTGTCGGACTTCCCAACGACTAACGTAGCCTTCTCAGTACCACCCAAAAAGGGAAATGAATAAAAACTATTAATATGTCATTCTAATGTAAGATTTGGCATGAATGTCATGAACATCGACCCTATAGTGTCATGTAGTGTCACCCATCTCCTGCTTTTTACATTTCCATGGAAGGGCAAGTCATTTCCACTCCCTCCCCAATATCCGGCACAGATTTACGCCACTGGTTACTGTCGAATCCGAGATTGAATGACATGTAAATATTTTTGGAAATAGTTATCGTTTGTAAAAACACAATTTGGAAAAATATAAATCGCAAAAACAAACTGGAGAAAAATACTTCAGTTTAATGTATGCTCCGTGACACCGTGGGCTTTTGTTAATATGAACTCTCAGTCCACACATTTCATACCGAGTGATCTCAGTTGCAGCATAGTGGGTGGTCCTTCAAAATTGTATAAAGACTACCTGTTACACGCCAGTTGCACGCTTAGCTCACATTGTAGGTGTCAGACTATTGAGTAGTACAGTTTCTAAATTTTACTATAAATTTTACCAAATGCGATTCACAAAAGCTATACATTCTTGCATTTTTTTCCATGAAAAGTTTACAAGTTCAGGCAATGTGATTTACTATTCAACAATGACAGTAATCTATTAGTTTATTGTTTCTTATTTAAAAAAGAGCCAATCCACAATCTTTCTGTCATACTCATAAGATCTATAAGATCGTTACTTTCTTTGATTAGATGTTAATTTTTTAAGCCTCAGTCCATAATGCAGGAATAGCTGGACATTTTTTCTCTCATTATTGGTGAAATGGCGTGATATATGTCTTTGACCAAACGTTTAACATTTAAAAAAAAATCGTTAAAATTACTTATACCCTCTATATACTGCTCACTAATTGGTAACGTGGTTCTGTTACTACATTTAAGTCAGTTCTTATCATAAGGTAAAATTTAAATTCTGCCTGTATATTGAAGGGGTAAACTTCTAAATGTGTACAAAGGTTACAGATAACAACGTTTTATTCCAGAATGACTACATGGTTGCATGCAACAAAACGGCTACTTAAATTACAAGGCAACTTTCGCAAAATTAATTCTATGAAAAGCCGACTGACAACGGCAACACTGTGTAACTTTAATTAAATCGCTAGAAATTTAAATATCAGATTCGCAAATTAATCATTCACTTGATAAAAGCAGGCTGATTTACTATAACAAAAAGCTGCCGAAAAGGGGCTGATATATCTATCATGGATGTTTAAAGAACACTGGAGTAAATAGCGAGGCAAGGTGTGTATCACAACACTCTTTTACTTTTTTTCAGTTAATAAGCCAAATAGTAAAGGTTGAATGTGCAGTGGCCATGTTTTCGATGCGACCATGGTATTTGGCCTGGAATTAGTTAGCTTTGTAGCCGCGCGTAAAGTAGTGCGCCTTGGTCTTCAGCTCAGGTAGAGATGCGCTCACGGCGAACAAAGAGGCCTGGAGCTGTGACTCGGCGCAGACACAAGGATAGGCCGGCTGGGCTCCCTGGGAATCTTTACAAGCTTCGGCTATCAGTCCCACGTCCATCAAGAAAGCCACTGATCCGCCAAATTGGATGGGCTCACCGGCTATCATGATGTCGCCCACGGTGAAGCCTTCAGAAGAGGGCACCTCCAAGGTGTACCGGAGGCCTTGCTCTGATTGGACAAAAAAAAGTTGAATCGAAGTGAGAACAATAGCACTTTCTCACTTGAGCTAACAATAGTTCTGTGTGGATTTTAAAGCCAAAAGGGCGAATTTGTGACGTTATTTTTTCATTTATGTCACTCTTTGGGGTTCCAAAAAATGTATCACATGAGAAAATTCTTCACTTAAGAGGAGGCGGAGGAGATAGGAGCTTCCGAACTTCAATATGAGTGCGTCTCTTAAAAAGGACCAACACTGCATGTGGGAAATGTTACTCCTTGATTGTGATCACGAGGTTTCACACACTAAACAGACTTAATAAATACTGTGAGAAGATTTTTTCTATTTGATGGAAGGGTAGGGCCTTATCGTACCTGCAGTTCCACGGACCAATTTCATATACTTGGATGCATCGTCCCCGTTAGGGGTGGTCCAACCTGCAGTCTTGACCTCAGCAATGAACAAGCACACGGGGTTAGCAATGCTGATCCGCATGCCTTGACGGCACAGGGTGTTGCAAGCCGAGCCAATGTGAGGGTCACTGTTACGGTCGGCCCGCCCGTACTTGGAGCAGTTGATCAGTTCCTGGGAGTCCGTGATCGTCCTGCCATTTTTCTCGCGGATCTGTGAAAAGCCATTAAAAGCTATAAATTTCAGTGCGGTAGATGATGATTAACCCTGTAAGAGCCGTTGCAAAAGAGCTCAGCCGTTCGAAGTCTACTCTTTCAAACCTCATATGCGTGTATTTGTGCAGTTCAATCCAGCATAGAATTTTGTTGCCCCGATCATTTCTATTTCACAACGTCAGGCGTGTCAACATCGTCAATAGCAGATTTAACATCTTTGGCCAACTGATATTGGCAAAACGAAAATTTAGCAAGAATTGTTCATCAGATTTCATTTAACTTCGTGTCAGTGTGACCACAATAAATCGTTAAAACCTTCTAATAGCTTAGCAGAGTAAAAAATACATTGCCAGAAACTTGGGTAACGTAAGGCTGGCGGATTCCGCTATAAACGTACGATAGACGCATCTCCAGCAAGTCTGATTTCAGCTCCAAGAGAGTTCGGCGGGCAGTTAAGATGCATACAGCCATCAGTGGTGTTCCACTTGTTGTAAATGTTGTACACCTTTTCCCCTGTATCCAATGCATATAAATCATCAGTGTTCCACAAAAGTGAATTCTTGCACCAATTCCAATTATTAGATTAATGCCACTCAGCAACAAAAGTTCACCTCTTCATAAACAAAGTGTACAGCATTAAAATCTCAATTTCATCTCAAACTGGCATTTGTCACTTCGTGGCACCAGCGATTAATACACAAGCATGACAGAAAGTGTTAGTTGGCCTACATTGAAAACTACGAGCTGGTTTGGTGCACGTTTGGAATCATTATGCTTGACTTACAGGGCTTTAGAAAGGGAGGTGTGCGGTACACCATGATAAAGATTAACTTTGAGACAGCTGAGTTTCTCCCAATAAAACATTCAGAGAAAATGAAATCAAACAAACAAGAAAGGTGGCACAAAACTCTAACCCAATAGTTGACAGTGATTGTTCGGGAACCCGGAGTAATGAGCCAGTTCGATGTTTCAAGAAGCTAAGGTCTTTCGGGAACAAAGCGCGCGCAAGTCACCGTATGGCCGCATCGACAGAGACCAACCTCGTTCCCATGGGAACATTCTTGCCGCGCCATGTTGTTTCCCACCATGCCTTGCGCGAACGCGCACGCAGCCCATGGGGTCGAGGGTGGACAGCCTGGACAGACTATCGCACGCACGCGCACCTCTTCCCGATAAGCCTCGTACTGGTCATGCGTTCTCGGAATACCAAACTGGCTCATTTTAACAAAGTGACATATTCCAACCACATTAAACACCGTAGTGTACCTCCTTCTGTGGTGTAGAGATCTTCCATCTTGACATCAGCTGAGACAAAGCGTTGGTAGAGGGCCAGACAAGTCTCTGGTTCCCACTGGAACAAGAAGTCCCAATATTCGGGTCCCTCACAAGTGAAATCAATTCGGGTTATTTTCCCTTCGGCATTCTTGTACACATACCTGAATTATTCGCAGATAAAATGTGCCATTGGTAAAAGCATTATACCCTGAAGTTCTTAAGAAGTTACACGCTATAACAAGAGAGTAAAAACGGCCATCAATAAGGGCAAGGTTTATTGCATTACTTCGCCTACATTCTGGTCGCCTAATTCAAAACACCCCAGCGAAATCTCAGGAAGTCAGTGCCTTTGGTGAAGTAAGTGACCAGAACTGACCAAGAGATGTCAGCTTATACTTGTACTGCTCTATACCTCATCTCACTGGACAATAGATCAAGGGGTCGCAATACGTAAATACCTTACACGATCCATTTCCAAATTTGCACACATATCGTCTAATTAAAAAGCAATGGCTGTGGTACTTTGTAGTAAACGTATAAATGTCTAACCACTCTAGGTATTCATCTTGGTTTCTGGCTTTCTTGTATTCTTCACCGTTGAAGGGCCACCCGTCTTTCTTGTCAGCAACTTCTAGGTACGAGTCCGGAAAATCTTGCTGCAGACGGCGTGGAAAACCATTCCATGTCACTGTGGGACAAAATCCACATAGCCACAAGTTCAAGCACATAGCAAAGAGAAAAACAAAATACCAATTCCCGAGTGTTGGAATATATTTTGCAGATTTACAAGTTCCAAAATGGACAACTAGACAGTCTAGTCTTGCTATATTGCATTACGGTCAAGATGCTTGTCCCTGGAAATTTTGGGAACAGTATGTACTAATTTTTTTTGAGTTTTAATTTTATACAGGGTGGACCATATTTGATTTTCTATGTTTTAATGAATCATTCTATTATATCATGAGCTGAATGCAATAAGAATTTATTCTTTCTTTAATCTTAACCATTCATTGTCATCGTTTTGTAAATAATAATAACCCAAGCTCGTTCCTAATTTCACATAAACCTCATAACACAATACATTTTCGTCCACGCGCATTCCAGTATTCAAGCATAAATTCGCTGTATTTTTCATCAGAAAACTGCCACATAAAACATTAAAAGGGTGAACAATTCTGCAAAATACATATCCTAACAGAAAATGCCTCACATGTTAACACCGAGGAAGTAAAGTGCGCATTTTGAGACAAAAGTTGTTCCAGCCGAAGTTAAATTTCCTGCTTACTTGACCGCTACAAAATGGTGTTTAATGTGGTCAATGATAACAAACCAAAGATAGGTCTAAAAACGCGTTCATTATGTCTGTGGTCTGTTTCTATTTGGTTTGTGCACTGATATCCATGATGGGATCAACGACTCTTTGACACGTTTGGGCTAATCTACGCACACTGAAAGTGACACAAACAGTATCGGACCGCTAAAGTTGGACTGTCATGAAAACCACCCTCATTTTGCCTACAACTTGAATGGGGGCCAAAGATTGCAGAAACACCACGTTTTGGTTAGCTTTCCATTTCACCTAAAATTCGTTCGAAATTGACATCTGTCCCATTAATTTAAATAGGGTTGTATTTTCATTTAGCACTTAGTAGTACGTGCATTATCATTATTTTGTGTTCTGAAAGCTGCGTGAGATTTTTAATACTTCATGAATTATTTTTTTACTTTTGAACTGAGCTGTACTGAACTTCTCAATGGTGTCCCATTGATGACGGATGACGCGTAAACACACACAATTTTCCTATTTGTCCCACGGAGGCCGTGTACACTCGTTGAAGATTTTTTTTTCATTTCCGCTGTTAATTTATTAACGCGTCGTGCTTGTTAATTGGGTCAAAGCGCAGAAGACATCCTACACACAGACGCTGCTACTAAGTGGATCCCCCATCCACAATAATGCGGAAATACCTTTCTTAAATGCCTTTCTTGAGTAATTAGAATTGAAATTAAAGAGCCCACACTATATACAAAAGAGCTAGGGGGAATAAAAACCTTCTTTTGGAGATAAAGGATTTGCTGACGAGCAAAACCACACTTACAAAAGAGAAGGTTACAACTAGCAACTTCTTTGCATGGAAACAATTGGCAAAAAACACACATGGCCACGGGCGACGCCTATATAGGTTACGAACCTGTTGTATATAAACTGGCTGACGCCACAAGTTTTACCAATGCGCTGAAAAACGGCTGACAGAAAAGAACCCCGGTTGAAAAGAATAAAAATATTCAAGAATTCAAGAATTGTGACTCCCTGAATATTTTAGAGGGTGCCAGAAATAAACTGCACGGTTGAAGAATAAGAGCCAAAAAACAGCCCAAGCAGCTTTTTCCGGGGAAGAAAACCCGACATTACCTGGCTATGAATGCTCACCTTTTTGTGTAACTCTGTCACTCCCAGCCGGCTTGACCTCCGGGTTGTAGAACTGGCATTTCCCCACACCAACAGTTTTTTCTTCCACTTTGATCGTATCGTTAAATGCGCCACCAATGAATCCGCTCCATTTCTGGTAGTTCTTGGAGTCGGCGTAATCTTTCACCGAGGCAGGGGTGGAGAAATACGGCGCTGTACAGAAGCATAGAGGAAGGACAGGAGTTTGAACTGCCATGGCTATAACATCTGGCCAATTACCGATTTCTGGCATTGCCAGTATACCCAGCAAGAAATGAGACCAAGGGGTACCCCCCC